TGTCTGTATGCCTAGGACTAGAGGCCCCCCTCTTAAAAAATCATCACATATTTGTGTAAAACACATGGATTAATAAGGTATAAAACAGAATGACAAAATGGAACTGAAAGTCAAACCAAATTATTTTCCGGACATACATTTTTAATATAAAAACGAACTAAATACAAATTCATAAAAAGCTATATTTGTAAAAATTCTACAAAACCCAGTATAAAATTAATACCCTGAACAAGGCACTTCATCAGCAATCACGTTCACATGGTGTAAGTTATTTTATGACAGAATCTCTGATCATTTACAGAGGTTAAAAAATGGCAGGCTATTCATTCATCATGAACTATCACATACAGAGAAATTATAATTTTATAATTTATGTTAAACACAACACAAAATTCAAAGTGCTGCCTTGTACCTGCACATTTTGAAGTTCCTTTGATACGATTACTGCATTTCTCTGTGACTCCCAGCCACAATATGCGTGTGGTTTATTTTATGATGCTGTATCTTGGACTACAGTGTCAAATGGTGGGACTGGTGAATAATGATTTGGATGATAGCAGTCATGTCCTGTTACTAATCCGGTGCTTGCCCAGAAAACACCTCAGATAGGATAGCTGGTATCCTGGCCAAGATCTAAACTGAGCACCCACTAAATTAAAGTATAGAGTGTCACTGCTACACCAGCCTGCTCGGTCATCCTATCTACAGTCTCTGTCCATTTGTTGGAAATAGCCCTTTTGATTACGATTTCTAAGTCTGATAAATTTACTGCAAGTGCTATTTTTTTTTTGTAAATGGAATCTTTTACAAATCACCATACAAAGAAAACATAGATGTAAGGTCTAGAGAAAGAGATGGCTAACCAACTGATCTACCACTGCTAATATACTACTACATCCACTAAAAATAAAATAAATATTTTTAATTTTCATTATTAAAATTCCCTATAGTAATAAATGCAACTAAAACATGCTGGAAGCTAGGATGGCTCAGCTGGTATAGCTACTAGGCTAGCTGGACAACCAAGGAATCAAGGTTTGATTCCTGGCAAGGGATAGATATTTATCTCTTCTCTGAGTTATTCAGATCAGCTCTTGGATCCAACCAGACTTCTATTCAATAAGTACTGGGGACTCCTGTCCTGGGGTAAAGCAGCTTGAGAGTGAAGCTGACTATTCATCACCTTCTACTGCCAAGGTTAAGAATGGGCTTCTCTAGACATCATAATGGCATGGTGTTTAATTAAGTACAAGGACAAATTTAGACTTTTCAAAACATACTAGGTGGTAGGCTTTCTATATTCAGGAACAGAGTGAATTCAGTGTTGTGTCAAACAGTAAGATAAACAAGTTACACAATTGTGATTTACACTGTACTTTCAGAATACTGTAGTTTATGACACCTATGCAGAGAAAGTGATAAGGCCAAGAACTGCTGGAAAGATGATGGGGACTCTTCTCCTTAGAGGTGCTCATACTATTAACTTTACATATGATAATAAATGTACTGTTAATACACAAAGGTACAGAATTGGCCTGCTCTAGGTAACTGATGAGAAGCTTAAAACACTCCTGCTGTTCCAGAAAAAGTGATTGCTGATGTAAGAGCAAACACCATAATCAACTTCCTGTAAGACTACTCTACTATACTTGCTAACCCATCGAGCTTACAGCCTGAACCTGGCATTATATGTTTGTTTTTAAAAATTAAGGATAAATTTCAGCCATCAATTTTGAAACCCAAAGATGCCCTAGGTGCATAAGACAGGAGTTTGGGGCAATATCACACAATGACTGGTGACAGTATCTCTGGAGTTCTTGTGAAGACAAAACTTAGTAACAAATGAGGGGATGAATACAAAAAGTAACTACTAAAAGAGAAACTTTCCTAGTTACCTATGTACTGGTCTGCATGGAGTATATTTTTACATTAACCTTATACAGCCTGATTTATCTGTATTATACGCTGATGAGACTATAGCAATGTGGATTATTTTAAGGACAAAGGCAATTAGGGAGGAGACACCTGCTAAGTAATAAGAACAACTCTGAAGGGAACTGGTGAGTTATAGACTTTGCATTGAATTCAGCACACCCTAGGTGAGGGGTCAACATGTCCATGGCCAAGCCATGCATCTTCTAGGGATTCCTGACTTCATTCAACAATCATTGTTCTATGATAGTGGTATGGATGAGACTTACATTATACTTAGGGGGGTAGAGGGGGTAACTGGAGCAGTATTATTGTTCTGAATGCAAATGCCAACACTGAGATTAAAAGTGACTGTACAAAGGACAGCATTAATGAGGAACTAAAAATATATTACCTGTTGTTTTGCATGGGCATACAACTCGGTCTCTTGCCATATGGGATGAACATGACTGGGGAAATGGAGAACAGAATGCTAAGGAGCATATCTGGACCTAAGAGAGAGGAAGAGGAGAAAAAAGAAAATTACATAATTTGGTCCTTTACAATTTCCAGCTGTTTGTTAAATACTATTATGATAAGTGGAGGAAAAGAAATGCTCAAGTCATATTGTAAGATGAGAAATTTCACACTTGTTCGTGGGTACTAACTCTTAAAAACATAATGAATGGTTGTTATACCATCCTATTTTAAAAATACTAAGAACTCTCATTATACTGTACATCTGAACAACACTATACAAGAAACAAGTAACAGGCTGCAAAGAGTGTCACCTCGCATTGATATTCTTGCAGGAGCCCACATCAGACTATTCCACTGGATGATGCCATATTAACCAGGCAGGGGGAGAGTGAAGTACCTCACATACAGCCTATATTTTTTATTGCCAGTGGGGTGGGACTAAGTCCCTTGTACTGCGGCCACTTCTGGCCTACTCTAACAGCCCCAGATGATAGGTGAGGGTGATTGTGGAGCAATTGGTGGAATGAAGATTGGCAGGGGAAACGCAAGTACTCGGAGAAAACCTGCCTCAGCTCCACTTTGTCCACCACAAATCCCACTTGACCAGACCTGGGATCAAACCTGGGTCACCGTGGTGGAAAGCCAACGACTAACCGCTTGAGCTATGGCATTTCAGTGCATACTGTATGCAAGGCAAATACTGGTTACATTTACAATCTCCTAATGTAATAGGAGCAAAAAGTGAAATTAAAACAATCACAAAGCTGTCAAATCTGCATTTGTATAAGAATTTGAGAATATATTCAGAAGAATATATGGACCTTAGAGATGGTCAAAAGTAGGATGATGGAGAAAAGGGCATACTGAGCAACTTTACTGAATATTTTTATGGCTGTCAAATCAAGGATGTGTATCACATGTGGGGCAGATGAGAAGTATATGAATGGAAGTGGCCACTGGAATCACTAGGCATATATGGGCCAATAATATCAAACAGATCTTAACCTCTCTTATGTAGGAATGGGGGATTTCAAATCTCTGCTACTACGGTCCTGGCAGCCAGATTTATGCTGTAAGCAGTGTGCTCCTAGACGCATACACATGCCAAAACAGTTGTGTGACGTATGGGCAATAAAGTTGAATAAGTAGAGTGGGAAGGTGTGGACTCAATTCGTCAGGTTCAGGTTAGCATTCTGTGAACATGGAAAAGAATTATGTTACATAGAGGACACAGAATTTCTTGTCCACCTTAGAACTATGATGAACAGGGCCCAGATTTTGATGGCATGTCATCTTTTTTTCCTTCTATCCTATTCGATATCCGTACATATATAAATCCTGGAGATGAGCTGCTGGTTACAAAAATGTAACTTTTACAGGTCATTTTTAAGCTTTTAGATAACTTTTTTGGACTTTTAAGGTCTTTTTTGTCATTTTAGCCATTTTAGGGAATTTTTCTTCATATGTTTTCAGAAATGTGAATAATATACAAGTGAAGTGTTCTTTCTCTTTCTCCTGCCTCTACAAAGGCAGCCTGCAGCTGAACCCCAAATACCTGCTAGCACAGTATGGAATAATAAGTTGTAATCCTGTCCCGTCCTTTCCGTTCGTTTTGTGGAAAGTGCTGACATTACATATCAGAAAACATTTTAAGCTGGCAGCAGGGTATGGCAGCGGTCCCTCACACTGCGGCCCTTTCCAAGTTCTGTGCAAAGGAATTTGCTTAGTTACAAATATGTCTAGTCGGAATCCCTCGCGTTTTATGACATATTGTTGCTCAATAAATCTCTGTCTGTCTTCAGTTTCTTGCCCTTCACCGTACAAAGATACAGTTGATTAAAGGTTCTCAGTGTGAAAAGTTCAGTTCTGTGTTGCACTACAGCGATTCATTTTATCACAATGCCTAAAGCAAAGCAACAGTGTTAATAAAGATTAAAAATACATTTTAAAACAATTAGTAGATTTTCCATGACATGATACAGTTTAGGGCGTTTCTTAACTTTCAGATAATTTTTCTGGATTGTTGGTCATTTCTCTGTAATTTTAAAAAATATTTTTAGGTCATCAAAATCCGGGCCCTCATGATGAGCTTTTGAACAATGGCTGTCCTCCATTGACTTAAGTATGGATAATTACAAAAGCAGTGTGACTGTACACTAGGACCCCTCAAGACAAATCCAAAGTCTGTGGGTCCATTAAAAGTAGTTACAGTTTGCGCAGAAAACTTCAAGCATCTGGCAGGTAACCTCCAAAGAGAAAGTCACTGGTCAGCAGGTCAGCCTTGTCTACCAGATATCCATAAATACTATCACCAGCAACCATTCCAACTATCTTGCAAATATATGAAGCAATACAGTCAAAAAGGTTCTGAATTTCAGCAAATGCTCAATGCCACTGGATAGCTGTCTTAGAATGTATGGCCATACAGAGAAGATGTGAGCAGAGATCTGTACCACTATTAGCATCCAGAGTAAAGAAAATGTGAAAGGTGCCATAGTTTGTTCAGTCTGGTTAATTTTATTATTTAAGGAATTCGGAGCACAAGCATTTTGCTTCATTTTCCTTCAGCTTTAATTTATCAAGCCTCCTGTAAATGAAAAGGTATGACGTAAGGCAAACTAATTCATGTATTAAATGGCACTGCTTACTTTCAATTATTGTGTACATTAAGCAGGGAGAGCACTGATCAAGATTTATATTCCTCCACCACAGAAGCATTTCCAGTAAGGTAAGTATAAAGGTGGGAGGGGGGAATTTCATTACAATTGTGACAACATAACAACACACTAGTCTCAGACATGGCTTGTTTCCAAGTAATGGTCATAGTATTCAATGCATCTGGTCCAGCGATCCACAACTTTCTTGGTTCCATCAGAATAAAACTTTTGTAGTTTAAACTTAAGCTATTCTTGCACCACTTTTCTCCATGGCTGAAACTCATTTCGGATACAGTTTCATCAGTGGGGATTCCTCACTTTTTTTCCAGATATGCTAACTTGTTCACTTATTAATTTCAACAGAACTATCACAGTCTATAGCTCTTGGAACACACATTATCAACTCTTGTCTGCTCTCTATCCAATCTTCTGAGCTATTTGTAAACTTTTCTCTGGCTCACATAAATTGTCATACTTCCATACATTACTGTAGTTTTTAAACCCTCCGATCACAAACATTGGATCGCTGATGACTGTCCTTCTCTGGTGTGTTCTATCAATGGAACAGCCATCAGTCAAGAGACACTGAAAACTAATCAGGTGCAAATCAGTGAAGGTTTACATCTGCCACCTTTTTTAGTGTTGCCTACACAATTATTTAAGTGAATGCAAATTACCTTTAATTTTTAACTTTCTCTCATATACTATATAATCATTAGTCATTATTTAGAGTGTGGCCTTATGGGAAATGACATCCTGCAGTCTGGTAGGTTCTTACCAACATTTCAGAGTAATTTCTTACCCTGATGATAGAAGCAGCAGATTCATCCAAAATGTTTGTAACCACCTACATGGTGTCATAATCCAATCATAATCCATAATCTGAATTTTCAGGGCAGTGAGAACCTTGAGTATTATTAGTTACTGCGTTCTCTTCACCACAGACATACTCTTCTTGACCATGGCTACAAATCAGGATATTTAATTATTTATTTTATCCTCAAAGCAGTAAGTTTCTAGCAGCTTCTTCCAGGAGACATTCTGGTCATTGTATTCCAAATTGCACATTATGACATTATGGGTCAAGTCTCCACCTAATTTGTTTCACCCAGTTTTGATTATATGCAGTTAATCCGTGATGTTCCTGTCCCCTTGTAATTAATATATATTCTGCTGCTGGTTGCACAAAATGGCGTTCCTGAAATACACAAGTACCATTATAACATAGGTTTAATGTTGGCTACAAGTATCATGTCACACAATGCTTATAACAACCTAAAAACACAAAAACAATGACCTATTTGCTGATCCAAAAACAGATGTGTACAAATTCAGACCCAAGATAATCTCATGTGAATCTACATAGTTCTTTGTGTGGTCTAAGCAGAACAGATAATTCAGAGCCCAGTAACATAGTTATGATTATTATACATAGCCAAATTATATTTCAGGAAATACAATTACTGACAGAGACTTCTGAAAAATATTTTGCGCTTTCAGCATTAAGAGGAACAAAAGTGAACAGGAAGCCTCATATGGAAATGGACAATGGTGTTAAAAGAACACTCAACGCCAGACCTAAATATTCAAAGTGCTGATTCAAAATCAGGGCAGAGTGAAAAACTGATCTGTACAAGAAACCACATTTCTAGCATGGTGAGAATAAATCTACATATTGACATTACTGAGGATGGCAAGTCCATAGTGAAACTTAAGATATTTTATGATTAAATATTCAGTTATATGGAGGATAACACTAATGTGTGTTGGAGGAGGGGAAGAGGGAAGCAAAGAACTATTCTGAAAGATCTGCAATTTCCCCATCAAAACTTGTCACATTGAAGAAGCTAACATTTTCTACTTAATTATCACATACATGTCTGTGCCACAGACATCGTCATTTCTGATTACAAGTTTATATCACCAGTAATCCATACTACTTATACATCAGTGATATGTCTCAAAAGTCCAATAATACACTAAAGCAATAATGACACACAAGTGTCCATAGAGTGACTGGATTATGAGTTTCCTCAAACACATTTCCTCTCACATACCTTACAGCGTTACCGTCTAAGATTCCACTTCTCATTTGGTTCTCAGTTAACCTGAAGCACTGAGACCAAGTCTAAAAGCAATTTCAACCATATTTTGTGGAGCAGAGTCATGGTAGCACACATAAACCTCCCTTGGGTGAGGGGTAAAGAAGAGTCGTCTGGAAAAAGAAAATCACTCTTACTTATTTAATTGTATAATTCTTTTATCAAGTTATCAATGGTTCTGTTCTCTAAGGCTATACCTGAATTCAGATAAAGAAACAGGATGTGAGGACAAAGAATGGATTCAACTGCCTCAGGACAGGGTCCAGTGATGGGCTCTTATGAACATGGCAATGTATCACTCAGTTCCATAAAAGGTGTGGAATTTCTTGACCAAATAAAGGACAATCAGGACTTTGCTATGGGAATCAGTTAATTAGTTAGGGTATACATAATGCTTACATTTTTATTTTCAGAATTTTACATTTCACATGTCTATACAAAAGTAGAGTGTTACAAGTTATCAAATGTAATACTGCACCATGTAATACGTTAATGGACACGTAAGCCAGAATGAATTGCTGCCAATGCTTTCACAAATTGAACTTCTAAAAATTACTTTTAATTGTCTAAAGTAAATATATAGTATTTCATTTTAACTGTTTATAAGAACTAATAATTTTAGTTCCATGTTTGTGTGTTAGCCCTTTGCAGCATACAGACCATATGCTAGATTTCTTACTGCTGATCTAGACAGTAACTGTCATTCATTCCATAATATTTGCTTTCTGCAGGTTAATAAAACTTTAAACTCACCCAACTACCCAGTATGTAAATGGTCCAGACTTTTTGGTACACTCTCCATCATTTGGTGTACACTCAAAAAGGACTCCATGCTCCTTAATTGCAATTAAGGACTTGTTAATTAAAGACTTTGATATTTCTTGGCCCATAAGTTTCTGAAACATCATGAAATGAGCAATATTATATAATTAAATTTGTTATTTAGAACAATATCTGAAGTTCTTTATACAAGAAAATATTACAGCATTGGGCATTGTTACAACTGGAATAATTCACAAACCACTATCCTCACCAAAGAATTTTTCTGTGACCATTCTTGAGGATGAGCAGAAATTATTTCTTACAAACTACCGACAAGCTCACACAATTCTGTTGCAACTTCTAAAAAATGAGAACAATCACCAATATTTGAAATTTTCTGCATCTCCTCCAGCAATGATCATTGCACTGTCACCAAACCTACAAATGTAACAGTATAAATTTTGAGAAGTGAAATATGTATTGATTCTTAACACATATTGTATAGAAACATTTGTTTATATAAACAAAAATGTTAATGCTGGTATACTTAACTATGATCACTTCACTCTTAGAGGTTTCAACTGGAATGTAAAAGCCTAGTAGTGAATATATTATTGATAACACAATTGAAAGAGCAGCCAGATTTCATTGCAGACATACCTTGAAGCGAACAGCATTACGCAATACAACATGTATTACTTGACAGCTGCGCCTGAAGTGATGGAGAATCTCTTGCAACCTCTCCGACTGCACCTGTTCTCTGTTAATAGGTGGACATAGCAAAATTCCTTCAGTGAAGTCCAGATGCACATAATGAAACAGGGTATTACTATCACCAGCAGTTAATCTGGAATTCAAACAACGCATACCAATTCAACATTTCCATTTTTCAAACAACATAAAAAGTCCATCATACTGATAGATGGTATATCTTACATACACATAATTTTCTTTATGCATATTCCTTCTGTAATATAAAATACTTCTGTCTTCCTGATACTGTTAGTTTCTTGGAACTCTAGCCATGGTAGAGGGGTCATAACATCTCTCACAGAGCAGTCTTATCAGCTTACGTCAGCATGGGTACTACCAGTTTGGAATGTAGTTTGGAGTGTGGTCAGGTGTACAGTACTACTCGTGGTCTCCGAAGGCAAACTTTTCTGCTCGGGGAGTAGCTCTGAATGTCACCACAGCAAATGTACAGCTTTGTGTCCTCCACAACAGTGTTTACCTTTCCGCGCGGCTAAAGTTACGAGGCACTAACTATACTTGTTATCCTTCCTCTCTGTCTCCCCATTAGTAAACCATATTCAGTTTAATGTACATCATCTAAATGCATAAAAAATGTATTTAGTATTTACAAAACCTTAGCACCATGCAGAATCAGGGCAGTACACAACAGAAATAATGTATGTCATATTCTTTCATTCTTAGAACCTAAATTAAATTACAGGTAGGGAAAACTCAGTGTTTGTTTCTTGCACTATACAAGCTTCATTATGTCAGTTAAGAGGTCAATGTGTCCTGTAACACTTTAAAGTGTTTGTGAAGTTTGTTAAAAGCTTGTGATATAACATGCAATTTCATTATTTCAGTACAGTTCATTTTATGAAAAACCAGGTGAAGTATGAATACCTAAGCTACTCTTTTATAACACCACCAATTCTCTGAATAAATAATGATAATGTCATGCTGAGCTACACTATCCCCTCACATTGCCGTACTTACTTTGAAGGTAATATATCACTGACATCACTAAGCAAAGATTGTGACATGTCAGACAAGTCAAACTGACTATTCTGGTTCCACTGGTGATTCTGACTCTGCAAAGGAAGATAAACTTATGAAAAAATATTTTAAGAAGACCAGGACCGAATATTAATTGAATTTAATCTGATTTAAGGACTAACACACTGAACATATCAGTCTATGGCACTTGATATCCAGGTTCCTTTAATTAAAGGGGGAGGCTAGACATGACCTATCCATAAAATTCAAACTGAAGTGCATCAATCCAGATGTGAGGTTATTGAAAATTTAATGCAGCACTGGCAATGTGAACAGCAAAACAAGATTTTGTTTTTAGATTAGACAGTACATGTGGCTTATAAGAGTAATTTTTAAAATATACAATTGCTCTCCTGTGCTCAGTCACAGGTATAGAGTACATATTGTATTTTACACTTTACAACCGTGCACATTTAGCACAATGTGTTTCACTTTCATATCATCAAGTGTCTCTCTGTGCATCTACAACTGTGATTTACACCACTAATCAGCAGAAACATAAACAGCACACGCTTTCATACAAAGACTTTTCTTTGTGGTTGCTGTATTACTTCACTCAATCCACTTTACTGTCTGTCATATATTTAAAATATAACTTTCATTATTTCACTGATGCAATATGCTCACCATTACTTTATTTTCTCCTGTAACTGCCCCATCCAATTTATAAAAATATTATATCTGCACCATATAAATGCCCCTCTTTTACTTACATGCTTCTGAGGTGTCAATAAATACTGGCTCAGTTCACCAGTCAGACAAAACCTCTAATCATAAAACATGTGCTGACAAGAGAACCATGCTTAAAAATGCTACTATAATTACATAACACTCTGATCTTTTATGTACATCTTGACATTCAAACATATCAGTGCAAAGTGAACAAAGGCCCTCATACCTGTGCCAGTAATAACTTTACTGTTCAATATTTCTGGAGAAATAAAAAAGGAGGGCAGAGAAGATTATTAATGAATAAATTATGATTTTTTTTTATTTGTTGGCCTTCATTTTTCACTTAACACAGGCAAGCAGATGAGCTGGCTTGATAAGCCCTGGCTATTATTGTTACCCTAGGCATTTTCCTGTTATCATTCTGATTTCATGCTTCACATAACCTTTACCTAAATTCTGTTCAGTTTTTTTAAGGTTACTGAAGTCACTGATACATTTACCGAACACAATACTGTTTACACTGCAGTCTCCCATATCCCAACAAGTCACAAGTGAAATCCCCTTATGTCCCAAAACAGTATGATTAAATTGTTCTGAACTACATAACTGGCCCACGTTGTTTTAATTCTGAAATACTGTGTAAAAGAAGTGGGATAATTATGCAAAGGAATGTGGTACATAATCATGTGACTAGAATTAAAATAATTAAAATATATCATATTATATATATATATATAAAAGCAATGACTAAAACTATTCAAAACTGTGGAGGTTATATAATACTGAATGAGAAGAGACAATCATCATGAATGGTGACTGGTTAAGAATTTGGAAGAAAGCCTTTGTTGCTTATTTTAAAGTGCTCACCTAGCTAACACTGGGCTGGAGAGACTGAGAAAATTATGACATGCAGTCAACCTAAATAAGTTTCAAACTTGGGGGGTGGGGATATGAAGAGAGGGGAAACCACAGAATTTTCATGGAAGTATTACACACCCTCTGCAGCTCCCAGTCAGAATCTGAATCATCAGAGTGTTCTGAATGTGAGTCAGTAAGGCGGCTGGGTGTAGCACTTGTATCACTACCACGGTGACTGCCCCGTTCTCTCTCTGCTCGTCGACCTAGTATAGGAGCAGCCTCATCACTCACTTCACTCACTACACTGGCTGCTTGACTGGCTGAATCCTCTGAAGTTGAGCCTTGTACTGAGAAACCTGTAAATGTCATTAAATATAGTCCATATTAGAATTTTAATACCACAGTTCTATTTTCATTACAACTAAGGATTACTCATTTTACCTTAGATCTCAAATTCATAAAGAAAATCAATATGTGTATTACCTGAAGCTGTGTAAACAGTTCCTCTGTCAGGACTATTCCGACGTTTAAGTATTGAAGTAACTTCCACTGGTTTCTTGCTATATGGAGAAGTGAGAGATAAGGCACTACCACCTACAAAGGAAAACTACATTATTTAATACAACAGAGAGATGACTGCTTCAAGAACCAAATCATGATCCTACAGTATCTACAGGGAAGGGGAACAATGGAACCTTCTAACACCACCCACTTAAATTTTGCTCAATTTCATCTTCATGTCCACTTCTTTTCACATTCTTCTCAAGGCATTGTTCACAAATCATCCTATCACTTGACACACAGCTTAAGCAGCTGAAGAAATATCTTTAAAGAAATTACAAATCAATCAATATCATGAATGGGGACTATAATAACAGTTACAAGCTGTGGAAGGAGGGGGAAAAAAAGAGAGTGAATTTACAATATACAATAAGACAATACTTCCTCAATCTACTACTACTGTACAGGTGGATCTTGACAACACTTTTACTGCCAAGAATTATCTACAACAAAGAATATGTAGATGAACATCCGTCTTACCCAATGTGTGTTCAAATTATCAATTTCTGTTACTACCATACAAATGTCATTCTTGAAGTCAGGTAAAAATATATTGTGAACACATTCACAAATGAGATTCTTGGACCACAATGGTGAATTCTGAGGTCTAAACTAAGAAAAGCCTTTAGATGAAATTCAAAACTGAGACAGTTTAGTTAGAATTCCTACAAGAAGGAAGACAAAGTGAAGGAAACTGTAACCGTTCATCATAATTTGCTGGACCCTTTTGTATTAATTCAATTTATATTAAGTTAAGATCACGTAATGTACAAACAGAGATCCGGCAGATAGCCAACTTTTTACACTCAGAAGTGACATAGTTCAAGTTTTGCTATGTGGACAGGAAGTAACATCTGGTACATTTCCTGGAATTCTGGCAGTTTCAGCAGAGTTGGAAAGTCTTTGAGAATCTGAGAGCTGACAGCTTGGAACAGCTATAACTTAGAAGTGGGAGTGCCTGGGCTTCATCCCCTGATCTTAATACATCAAGTCACTGTCAACCTTAGCATTAGGTCAATAACTGCCAGAATCACATAGCAAAGCAACATGACTGGAAATATAAATTTAGGGAACCTCCTAATTTTTAAACTAAACCAATGGCACATGTTGGAGGAGTGTATTTCTCTTGGAGTCTGTGGTTCGTGGACCTCAGGATTCAGAGAGAGTGCATTCTACCTCAGACAGTCTTCATTTAACTTTCCACCAAGTCAGACTCAAAAACTAGGTCACTTCACTAGGAGTATTACAAGTTCAATCCAAATAAGCGTAACTATTAGGGCTTCCGTTGTGTTCAGTGAGCTGAAATTAATTAAATAATTACTGAAGTGCAAAAGTCTTGAAGTGGTGTAGGTGATTGTAGCATTAGGATCTTCCTGCCCTGCCTGAGCCAGGCTCATATGACCCGGGATAAGAACTCATCTCTACCCATTACAGAGCAGAACCCAGCTACTCCCGACTTTCCTTACTTGCAAGACACCTTAATAAGTGTACAGGAACCGAACCCTTGCCTACTAGCACCAGCAACCACAATTCTCCTCCCTTCCCACCTAACTTCTCGACATCCACGACAAAGAGGAAGGAGGGCAGTGTGGAGGTGTCCAGGCACAAGGTGCAGGTGAGCCGCAGAACAGGGAGAGGAAGGGATACAGGTAAAGGAACTACTAAGTGACGTAAAGTCGGCAAAAGGCAGTCATGATTGGAAACCAATGGTGGGCAAAGAGGATGGACGGTTATAATGGAGCCCAACATAGGGGTGAGAAGACGAGTGGTAAGAAAACATAAAACAGGTTCCACTGTAGTAAAGGTGAACTACACAATTCGGTAATCTGGAGGAGCTAGACTTAGCTAGCAAACAAACAGAAAAGGAAGGTTTGTGGAGGAAAAGACAACAGTAGGAACCTATTCTTCATCTGTTTGTATATGAAGGAAATTATATTGGGGGAAGAAGTTGGGACCAGTGATAAATAAAACAACAAAACAGATTAAGTGAGAAAGAGTCGCAGAATAATATAATGTACTTCATGATAAAACCAAATCTTGCCAAAAAGACTGGAAGCAGAATTAAATTTATGAAATAAATAACTAACACATACTCGCTAGTGATGTATGTTTAGATGGAGTTGATGTATCAGCAGACCGAACAAATCCAAGAAGATTGTCAGTTCGTCTGGGCGAAGTTCTGCGCACGGGAACCAACTCAGGAGATATCACCTGTGGACGTGGACCCGATGCTAACCTGTAAGAATTATGTTGTGGCACTGTCAGTATATGCTCACAGACTGTTTATTGCTACCTGTATTTTTCTCTACCATGCAAGTCTGAAAAGAAAAAAACTCAAACAATATTGTTACATTCTACAAAACTCTGCTAAACCACATCATGGTGGCAGATAAGAAATGAAGCAAGCATGAGAGATGTCATTTTCTTAATCTCCATTTGAATATAAAGATAATCAAATACAAAATCGAAGTATAGTGAATTCCAATGGATAGGAGCCACTGTTAAATAAAAATAATTAAAATACAAAGTGTCATACAAAATTTAATTAAATGTTTCTAATTTAAAATTGGATATTTCTAAACCTATGCCAAAAATTTCAATATTATACCATGCTTTGAAGCAACAAAGTAACTCCATGGGCCAGTCCTTTTTGAGAAAATTATAATAACTCAGTTACTTCCTATGGAATCTGAAGGTTCATTACTAAGTCAGCTTGGTGGGATATCCTGCATGAACAGAAAAGTGAAAAATGAATACAAAAGTTTGTTTGTAAAATGTGAAGGAATGAGACCGCTTGGAAGGGACAGGTATAGATCAGAGGGTAATATTATGACAGAAAAGACAGTATGAAGAACTCATCTGCCTTGTAATAGGACTTGGTGAGGGCGTCGTGTGAACATAGGAATGAACCTTTGAGTTCCATATAAAAGACAAAGATTTTGACCAGCAGAGTGACCATTAGCTTGTCAAGAAGGACTGATCTCAGGAGGCAGTAAGTCACAAGTTCTCCAAAATCTCAAAGATGATATGAAGCAAATACCATGATTAAAGATAGTCCTTGCTGTTTCGTTATTCGCTTTCGAATATCTTTGGAATATACAGTTCGAATCGGTCTTTTTATCTTGTAAGCTCGATAAAGTACAGGGTCAATAGGTATTAGTGCATACCATTTGGCAGCTATAGCTGGAATACCCAACTTCTGAATATATACCAATGTATCTTGAGCCTGTTCAACATAACATACATCTGGTCCAATGGGTCCCTCCAACCTGTAACATAGTCACAATAATCACTGTACAGGATTGCCAACATAGGCATCATACTGGAAATTCAGTATAATTTCTTTAATCATGAGCACAGCTGTTGCAAAATATAATTTATTTCAAACTGTCTTAATCTACTGTCTAGTATATTTCTACTTCCATTTCTTTAACACAGTTTCACATGTATGTGTGACGACAGACGGGGTTTTGGAATGATGATTGGATTTACTGACCACTTGTAACTACAAATTACTAAAACACTATTGCTAATTTCCAAACTTTAAAAATCACTACAGCACATGCTAAGGCTTTTAAGTTTGTCTTCACTAGTCTGTTAACTGCTTCTAATAGTGGGGATTCTTCAACTGCAGCAACAAAGTCTTCTCTTAACAGACTCCCTTACAAATGACACCGCTACAACTCTCTGCCAACTGACTTCTGAACTTGTTTTCATTATAACATCTCAGCACAGATCGTGTAGAAAAGCCCATTCACCATTGTATTGCAATTGTTTCCATGGGAACTTGCTTGTTTGTGAAGTCATTACCCAGCAACATCTGCATATACTTGCTTATTAAGAATCTGTTCCCTAGCAGCAAATGTTGTTTCATTGTTTGAAGTAATTACCCAGTAACGAGTTGAGTCTACCTGCTAAAATACTGAAATCATAATATGCTGTCATTTCATCAGCAGATCATTGTCCTTGAGAGCAACACACTTTGTATCCTACTGGTCTGTTTGTGGCCCTGAATCTCATCCAACCACCTCACTGTTCTATTAAGACTTCTGTTTCTTCATGGGTAGTATTGTCAGGTCTGCTGATCAGTACATTTCACATTCCACTATGACCTGTAATAGCTATCCCCTTGCTTTCTTAACTAATCTGTGTTCAATGGAACTGTTCTGTATTGTCCTTACACTTAGCTTCAACAAATGAATGAAAAAAGGCCTCTATTCACTTGCAAAATAATTCTATTAACAGTGGCCTTTTTTAAAACTATCATTCCTACAAACCATATGCATATTGCTTGTAATCTGGATGATTTCTTTCCTCCATGGTCCAGCTGTATCTGACACAATGTTCTTCTCAAACTTCTGCCTGTCCTTCATGAACACTGTTGCACAGACTTCCTGTTTCCTCCAAGTTCTTTACTTCTCTGTCCATTTCTAACATATTCAGTTTTCCTCATGGGAATCTGTAGAAAACTGCTTATACTTTTCTCTGTCCTCCACCACAGACCATGCACATACAAGCACTGAGTAACAGTTTTAAATGAACGACAATAGCACAGCAATGTGATAGGCTGTGATATGATGATTTTTTATTTGTATTACAAATTACTGCCCACATGACCTGTTCACTGGCCTGCCTGAATTTCCATCTACACAGCAATCACTGCACAGTGATATATGCTAAAGTATTATATCACACTGTGACCTTGTGTGTCTGTGTGTGTGTATGTCTCTCTCTTAATACAATTTGCCCATAAATATGTCATTTCTTCTTAAGGCCCTTTGGGCCTTCATTTTTAAAATGCTTTCTGACCAAATAAGACTTTAAGATAATCTTCTGAAAATATTATCAGGATATCAAAAATAAGTAACAACAATACAGTTTTGGACATGATGCATACAAAGTATTAAATAGTACAACTACTAAAACTTATAGGGTTCTGAGTTGGCTCCTGGCTTTCATCAGACCCATTATATCAGTCTGTGTGTGTGTGTGTGCACATGCACACACACAAGGGAAACAGAGAGAGATAAATTATGTTATACATACCTAACTGTGCATCCTCCTGACTCCAAGAGAACCACCAACATTTCTTGTCCCTTTAATAAAAGTTGAGAAAATTTAAAAAAATTCGAAGCTCAAAGAGGGGGGAATAAGATATATCATATGCCAACATGTCTCTAGAGGCCTCTTAACTAGAGATAATGCACATATCAGAATACACAGTTTATACACTACGAATGTATCCAGCACGAAACTGAAAGCATAGAGAAAACGTGTTAACAGATCCGTTTGCTCTTCGTTACCTGATGAAGGTACTAAACTGAGGACAGTTTTTCAACTGGCCAAATGAACAGAGCATTCAACAGGCAGCACAAATGTTGACTGTTAACATTTCACTTAGAATCATAATATTCACTTATAGTATTTCTTTTACATATTTAGGACAAAGAGTGTTACAACAAATCAGTTTCATGCAGTGTCTCATAATAGTACTGAGTCTAGTATCGATTCACAGCACATGCAGCATTTGGTCTATACCAAGCTGGCATTGTATTTGTCTTCAATTTGATACTGTTGTGTGTTTGCTAGGCAATGCAACAAGAAATTGTGTGGGTTTTGGATTTGAATGAATATTTATTGGCCAATCTCTTCTACACTTACAAGTACAATTATCATCAACTTATAACGTCGTCAGGCATTTCTTACAAGACTATTATAATTACTTCTTGCACCATTAATCTTGGTGAAGTCTTCTGTTCCCTTTGTCGGATGCGAGCTTGCTTCTGCTCTAGTCGGAGCTACAATAAGAATTGACTGGTCTCGTAGAAGCTGGATTTCTATAACCTGGTCTCGGACGGAATAGAGTGCACCATGTAGGAGCCTCTGGTCTTGGCCGCTGTTATGCAATGAACCTTTTGTTGTCCCTTCATTTGCGGGGAAATGCGTTTGTTGCTTAAGGTATTCCTAGGCAACGGTCCACTGGTACTGCATTTCCATGGAAGTATATATTCTTATCGCAGCCACTGCCTATCAATTGACATGTCTTCTGTTCCTTTTGGCAGCTCACCACAATACTTTGCTCACAAAATAAATTCAAGTTGTTTGATGAATTAGCTGTCTTGCCAACAAGTCTAATGTTTCTGTATTGAGATGGTGCTTCACTTTAACAAACCTTTACATAAGGCAACATAACAATGTGTTATTTACCTTCCCAACAATCAAAAGGAACCATCTTCCCTGTGGTGGTTGGTATGGTGAGGTGGAAGTGGGTGTGTAGGACACCACTGGTTCAGCTAACCCTCTATTACATGAGGCAGGAAACACCTCTCGCCATAAAACCAAAGAACGTACAGGTTCGGAACGTCCCAAATGCAAGAGACCCTGCTGACGACAGAATGTGTGTACATCCACAAGGTCTGCCCTGGCTAAATGAGAAGCCAGTAGATATCCCTGAAATGGAAAAGGTGAAGTGTGCATGAGAACATATAAGGCTACATAAGTGGTCATAAGTGTCTTAATATAAGCTGACCTGAAATAATGGAATTATTTATTATGAAAATCTTATGATACATATTCCCGTTAAGAAAAAAGGTTACTGAAAGCAGAGAAGGAAGTGACATCACATGCTTTATATTATTTATCACCATGGTGCTGCACATGATCGCTTTATGCATTAAATATCTGCTAAGCAAGCAAAGGAGTTGAACTAGATAACTTTTTGCACCATAAAAAGACTGGATATCATCGTCGTCGTTGTCATCGTCATCATCATCATCATCTAGCAACTAGATCAGACATAGAAAAATTGTGAAAACTGGAAATATTATAATATTTTATGTATATGATTCAACCATAATATTAGAATAGAAATCAGTAATACCTTATGGTATATACATGTGCCAATGACAGTGTACAGTCTTTGACAACTGGTGTTATCTTCACTCTGAAACAGAAACCAACAGTACAAGTAATTTTTATGGCACATTTAAATCTCAAGTCTAACTAAGTCCACAGAACAAGCTCTATCTTGAAATGCTGATAGTTATTCAGCTGATTATGGCTTTTGTGGCATCCAAAGGATTATCTTCATATTCACAAAACTTCACCACTGGACTCCATACAAAGTATCAGCCACTACTGTTTAGTTTTAACCAGAACTGGACCTGACAACAAAAGTATACTTCCCACCAAAAAAAATTCAGCAGTTCTCAAGACAGATACAGAACACTGAAACATAAGAAGTAAAATTGTCCCTGTGCTTAACTAATTAAGCACTAGCCATGAAGGCGTATTGGGGAGTGGATATATAGATCCATGTTTTTTTGACCTCGGCAGTAGTTGGAGATGAGTGGTTAGTTACACACTCCAGCTGCTTTATTCCTGGGGAAAGAGCCTCTGGCACCCATTAGATAGGAAGCAGGGTGGGCCCCAGAATCAGTCTGGAGAATGTGGAGACAAAAGTCTAATACTGAACAACTATAGCAGTTAGTATCTCAGGGTCTTCCTTTATGACAAATGCATATGTTTAAACAAAAAATTTATAAAGCATGTGATATGAGAGACCACTTAACACAACAAACTCTCTTGATATGCTTATTCCTTCATTCTCATGAACTGCATACCATGCCAAACTCGAGTAATAGTTATCAGCAGGGCCCGGATATTGATGGCATGTCATCTTTTTTCCCTTGTATCCTATGCGATGCTCCTAAATATATAAATCTCGGATACGGGCTGCTGGTTACAGAAATGTAAACTTTATAGGTAATTTTTTGGTAAATTTTTGGACTTTTAAGGGTATTTCTTGTCATTTTTGGCCATTTTAGGGAATTTTTCTTCATATGTTTTCTGAAATGTGAATAACATGGAAGCGAAGCGTTCTTTCTTTTCTCCTTTAGGTCATTTTATAGGTAATTTTTTGAATATTTTCAGGTCATAAAAATCTGGGCTCTCCATATTACATTTTTGGGTCATATTTTAGGTCATTTTTCTGGACTTTTCGGTCGTTTTTTAAATATTTTCAGGTCACCAAAATCCGGGCCCTGATTATCAGACATGGTACACAGAAGAGGTTAATGATTCTCTGTGAACAATGTGTCATTATAAAGGAAAGATGAAGCACAACTGGTGAAGCAGAAGGGAATTCTGTGGACCTAAAATGGGTCCTAATGAAGAGATGGGGGGAAAAACTATGTGCCAGGGAAATGTGTCTAAGAATTAAATATGGACAAGTGGTAACATTTATTTCCTACAAAATTCTTCGCTATGAAGAGGGGTCATCTTACATCTGATGCTGTCTTATTACAATTATATACTATCTTAAGAACAAAACTCTAAAGGAAGTTTAGCAAGTTTTCCAAAATAGGCAATTTTGGATTGTCTCATATTTACTTACCATATCACCAAAATCATTTGATTCCAGTTCACTCAGTACTTCATCAAGTTGCACCTAATGGAAACAAAAGAAGTAAAATAAAATGTATCTTACTACTTCCTTTTCTGTTTTCATTTTAGGACAACAAAGCGGATCCATGCTTGTATTATCCCAGAATAGTCATAAATGTAAAAATGTATAACCATTTTATTGATGGTCTCTTGAATGGACATTATCATTACAAATATGCAGTGTGAAGGAAAATTTGGATTGGGGGGGGNGGGGGGGGAAGGAGAAAACTGCATTGTCTTTGGGCAACTTTACTTTTACCTTTAACTTCAAAAGACTTACAGAGTAAGTTTCACAACCAAGACCTACCAAATAAAATGTAGGGGGGAACTGAAGTAACAAAATAGAGTAAAATAACACATTATTTCTTGGAAGAAATTATGATATCTACTTTCCTTCAAATGTTCAAATCTGTACAGTCAGAGTAGCAAACATTACAAATTAATAGTTACATACTTAGTGATCTGCTTCTGCACATAATTTTCATTCACACAAATTTCAACTACTGGGGTACACAGTAGTGTAGTTGGTTAAGGCACTATGATACAAGCCAGAAGGTTGTGGGTTTGAGTCCTGATGAGGTGGACTTTTTTCAATTTACCTAATCCTTCCAGCCACACTATGACCCTGGGGTTGACTCAGCCTCTAACAAAAATGAGCACCAGGAATCTTCCTGGGGG